ATTGTAGTCAGTGACATGTCAGAATTGTCATCCTGAAGAGCCATTACATGTCCATCTCCCATGTGATGTTGATCGGGGCCCAACAACTGCCCACTCAGGAACCATACACTGCCTTGTGATTGGCAGGTGAGGGGTGCTAATTTTTGCTTTTTGGTAGTATGTAGAGGCAGAGCAGGGTGGTTGGAGACTGCCCTGTCCTCCTTATGGTGACCTCTTCCTTGCCCTCCTGTGGACATGGGACAGATTGACTCTAAGCCCCAGGAAATGGTGCTCGGTGGAGTTATTGACATACAAGGTCACATTGTGGTCAGTGACGTGTCAGAATTGTCATCCTGATGATCCATTCCACTTCCGTCCCCCATGTGATGTTGATTGGGCACCAAACACTGCCACTAGACACTCAAAAAAAAATTACATTACCAACCCTCACCTGCAAATCACAAGGCAGAGCAGGGTAGTTGGAGACTGCACTGTCATCTTATGGTGGCCTATTGTGGACATGGGACAAGTTGACTTTAAGTCCTGGGAAATCGTTCTTGGTGGAGTGTTTGGACATACATTGTGGTCCAGGTGACATGTCAGAATTGTCATCCTGATGATCCATTACACTTCCATCCCCCATGTGACGTTGATCCGGCCCAACAACTGCCCACTCGGCACCAAACACTGCCTTGTGATTGGCAGGTGAGGGGTGCAAATTTTTGGTGGTATCTAGAGGCAGAGCAGGGTGGTTGGAGACTGCACTGTCATCTTATGGTGGCCTATTGTAGACATGGGACAAGTTGACTTTAAGTCCTGGGAAATGGTGCTTGCAGGAGTTTTTGACATACAATGTCCCATTGTGGTCACTGACATGTCAGAATTGTCATCCCGATGATCTATTACACTTCCATCCCCCATGTGACGTTGATCGGGCCCAACAACTGCCCACTCGGGCACCAGACACTGCCACAAGACACCCAAAAAAAATGACATTACCACCCCTCACCTGCAAAACACAAGGCAGAGCAGGGTGGTTGGAGACTGCACTGTCATCCTATGGTGGCCTATTGTGGACATGGGACAAGTTGACTTTAAGTCCTGGGAAATCGTTCTTGGTGGAGTGTTTGGACATACATTGTGACCAGTGACATGTCAGAATTGTCATCCCGATGATCTATTACACTTCCATCCCCCATGTGACATTGATCGGGCCCAACAACTGCCCACTTGGGCACCAAACACTGCCTTGTGATTGGCAGGTGAGGGATGCTAATTTTTGGTGGTACCTAGAGGCAGAGCAGGGTGGTTGGAGACTGCACTGTCATCTTATGGTGACCTATTGTAGACCTGGGACAAGTTGACTTTAAGTCCTGGGAAATGGTGCTTGGTGGAGTTTTGGACATACAATGTCCCTTTGTGGTCAGTGACATGTCAGAATTGTCATCCCGATCTATTACACTTCCATCCCCCATGTGACGTTGATCCGGCCCAACAACTGCCCACTCGGGAACCAAACACTGCCTTGTGATTGGCAGGTGAGGGGGTGCTAATTTTTGGTGGTACCTAGAGGCAGAACAGGGTGGTTGGAGACTGCACTGTCATCTTATGGTGACCTATTGTAGACCTGGGACAAGTTGACTTTAAGTCCTGGGAAATGGTGCTTGGTGGAGTTTTGGACATACAATGTCCCATTGTGGTCAGTGACATGTCAGAATTGTCATCCCGATCTATTACACTTCCATCCCCCATGTGACATTGATCGGGCCCAACAACTGCCCACTCGGGCACCAAACACTGCCTTGTGATTGGCAGGTGAGGGGTGCTAATTTTTGGTGGTACCTAGAGGCAGAGCAGGGTGGTAGGAGACTGCCCTGTCCTCTTATGGTGACCTCTTCCTTGCCCTCCTGTAGACATGGGATAGATTGACTCTAAGCCCCAGGAAGTGGTGTTCGGTGGAGTATTTGGACATACAATGTCCCATTGTGGTCGGTGACATGTCAGGAATGTGCATGGGTTGTATATTTCTCTCCATGCCTCGTACACGGCTCCGTCCTCAGCCGTCTCCATCCATATAAATGCCGAAGATTTCTGCTCTCCTGTAAGACTTTTTTTTTTTTTTTTCTCTGTCTCGTCTTGTCTTCAGAGTTGTCCCCGATGAACCGCAATCTGCACTTTAATGATCTTTTATTTCTCTGTAGCGGAGTGTCTGCGGTTTTAGAAGTAACAAGATTAGTTTCTTTTATTGGTTGATGGAAGTTGGGCTGGAAGATTGGTTGTTGTGTTTTGGGATAATATGTTGAATTTTGTAAAGGTCACGTTGTTGATTTTAGATTTGTTTCTGCTAACCGTAAGACCACATCAAAGCAGCCCACGTCCTCTGTGCGTCCCGATGTGCTTGTCGTTCAGTATTGTACGGTGTGTGTGTACGCTCCGTCTGTCATTCACCCTTATTTTAGCAAAGCAATTTCATACTCCCTTTTTTTTTTTTTTTTTCAACGGCGTCCTTTGTTGTGCGTTCTTCTCCCGCTGCTGCAAATGGCTCTGTAAACGCAATAGAAAGGACCACGAAAACTTTTAAAGCAGTAAGGAAACCTGTATTGCGGATTAACAATTCTTAGATGTGATGGCTGCATTAGTTTTCTTTTTTAGACGTTTTTTCTGGTGATCCAGCCAGTGATTTTGTATTTTATTATTTTTTTTTTTCCAACAGATCAAGCTCTCCTGTAAATGTAGCAGTTAGGGCAGCCTTTCTCAACCTTTTCAGCACAGAGGAACCTTTTGAAATAACTTTCCAATCTCAGGGAAACCCTGCTAAAAATGACTATACTCGTGATACATTAGTGTGATTGTCATTGGGAAGGACGCCCCTTACGTTGGGGGGTCAGTGGGAAGAATGCCCCTTACGTTGGGGGTCAGTGGGAAGGATGCCCCTTACGTTGGGGGGTCAGTGGGAAGGATGCCCCTTACGTTGGGGGGTCAGTGGGAAGGATGCCCCTTACGTTGGGGGGTCAGTGGGAAGGATGCCCCTTACGTTGGGGGGTCAGTGGGAAGGATGCCCCTTACGTTGGGGGGGTCAGTGGGAAGGATGCCCCTTACGTTGGGGGTCAGTGGGAAGGATGCCCCTTACGTTGGGGGTCAGTGGGAAGGATGCCCCTTACGTTGGGGGTCAGTGGGAAGGATGCCCCTTACGTTGGGGGTCAGTGGGAAGGATGCCCCGTTACGTTGGGGGTCAGTGGGAAGGATGCCCCTTACGTTGGGGGTCAGTGGGAAGGATGCCCCTTACGTTGGGGGTCAGTGGGAAGGATGCCCCTTACGTTGGGGGTTACGTTGTCCACAGCCAAAAGCACCTGCAATGGGCACATGAGCATCAGAACTGGACCACGAGACAAAGGAAGCAAGTGGCCTGGTCTGATAAATCCAAGAATAGTTTGAGGGACACAACAATGAGTTTGAGGTGTTGACTTGGCCTTAAAATTCCCCAGATTCCAATCCAAACGTGCATCTGTGGGATGAGTTGGGAAAACAAGTCTGAACCATGGAGGCCCACCTCACAACTTACAGGAGTTGAAGGATCTACTGAAGGCTTGCTGCCAGATACCACAGAATAACTTTAGAGGTCCAGTGGAGTTCATGCCTCAATGGGTTATGGTGGGTGGCCACATAGTTATGGCTGATCGGTGTATAATTGACCGCCGATTGGCCTAATTATATAGGAAAGCAAAGTCTGTGGTTGCAGTACTATGTATATATATTTTTTAAAGGTTTAGTTCACTTTTAAAAAAATAATAATAAATGCGCGTAGTTTTGCAGAAGAAAATGTGCATTTATTATCTTGCTTGCGCAGGGGCCATCAGTTGACGGGTGCAATGCCAAGCTCCTATAGGCTCTTCCTCCAGCTCCGTGCTCATACCAAGTTAGGGGCCATCAGTTGACGGGTGCAATGCCAAGCTCCTATAGGCTCTTCCTCCAGCTCCGTGCTCCTACCAAGGTAGGGGCCATCAGTTGACGGGTGCAATGCCAAGCTCCTACAGGCTCTTCCTCCAGCTCCGTGCTCCTACCAAGGTAGGGGCCATCAGTTGACGGGTGCAATGCCAAGCTCCTACAGGCTCTTCCTCCAGCTCCGTGCTCATACCAAGGTAGGGGCTTTCAGTTGAGACCTGGAGGAAGTATCAATGGACTATGAGTGTGGTGACTTTTGCCTTTGTGTTCCAATCAGAACCACAAGGTTACTTTAGCACGGGTGTATTGCCAAGGCGCAAATCCCAGCAGCAGGAACCTGATTCTGGCCGCTGGCTTTGACTGCTGTAAGCGGCCGCCAAGCCCGTACGCTGCAGTGACAGGCTGTCAGCAGCCACAGCTATTTGTGGCTGTTCACAAAGTCTGCAATATTGTGCAGTGTTCCCTACTGGAAGCTCTTTGCAAAGCAAGCCAGCGATTTGCCTGTGCACAAACCGCCACGAATAGCTGTGGCCGCCAACAGCCCCATTATGACCGCTTCCCCAGGGTGTACAGACCCTATTAAAGGGGACACCAAGGCTGGAAGGGGTTAAGCAGGTTGTAATCCCAACACCAAATACTGAAAAATGTTTTCCTGGCATTGAATTGTGGGGACCTTCCTGTCAAATTGGTAATGCCTCTCCATGATTAAGCGCTGGGGGTGGGACGAAACGCGTTGGAGTGGGTTAGACGGAGTCACTACTATGACCTATGACTCTGCTTTGTGTGCTGTGATTTGGATACTTTTCATGCCTTTACAGTTCGTAAAATCTTTTTGCTGTAAAAGCAATTTTATTCAATATCTTGATTTGATTTTTTTTTTTTTTTTTTCCCCCCAGCGATGCGCTGCGTAACATCGTTATCTGCAATGACGCCTCTTTGCGAAGCCAGCCTGTTATCTACAACCCAGACTTTTTCGTGGAAAAGCTTCGGCATGAGAGAACCCGGAGGTTTTCACAGAGCTGGTGGTCAGCAACATCACCAGATTAATCGATCTGCCCGGTACGGAGTTTGCTCAGCTGATGGGTGAGGTGGAGCCGAAACTTCCTGGGCAGAGCGGGACGGCCTCCTTTTTCAAGTCGCTCAGTTTTCTCAAACGTAAAGGTAAGTCCACTCTGCGTGTTAAAGAATCTTCTGTACAAAAGCAATATCTGATAGCAACACTCGGGTTGTTGGTTGGAATCCCAACCACGGCACTAGCTGCCTGGAGTTTGCATGTTCTCCCTGTGCCTGCGTGGGTACTCCAGTTTCCTCCCAAGACATACTGGTAGGTTAATTGGCTCCTGTCTAAATTGGCCCTAGTATGTGTATGAATGAATGTGAGTTAGGGACCTTAGATTGTACGCCCCTTGAGGGTTAGGGACTGATGTGAATGGGATTGGACCAGAGGTTCTCAGCCTTGGTGGGACCAAGACCCCATCAACTCTTCCAAAACCTTCCTTGCCTCAACAGTTAAAAAAAAAATAAATAAAAAATTGTATACTATCACAAGTGTAACACCCTCCCAGTATAGGCGGTATGTTTAGTTAGCCGCTTTGTAGTTTGAGGAAAAGGGTTGATTGCTTGGGCCTTCTCAGTGTCTCTCAGGCTGCTGCTCTGATTACTACCCCTGTATTCTAGAGGATTCTGGATTTCTAGTGGGAGGAAGAACCAAGTAGGCAGCCTGAACGTGTATCCAACTCTTGCCAATCCCTTGGGAAGCATGCCCAGTAGGGGTTGGAAGAGCCCATAAATAGCCTGAGGCAGGGAGAGCGAGTTCCTGGGTCCAGTCCTGCTGGAGAAGACCCTTTGGTCAAGGGGCAGAACACTAAGAGTCATTAGGAAGACGTTGAGGTCCCAGCTAGGCTTAACTGGGAGGGGTGGGAGCTATTTGCAGTCTTAAAGTCCTAGAATCAAGTTGGGTCTGGAGGAGCTCACTGGAGAGAGCCAGAAGAAAGTTGGTGGGAAAGAGTCCTGTGGTGGTGGTATGTATGGTGGTCCCTTACTGAGAAGAGCCTGGTGGGTATCAGCAGGAGGCAACTAATGACCCTGTGGGCTGTGGGAGGCAGATGACCCTGTGGCTGTGGGAGGCAGATGACCCTGTGGCTGTGGGAGGCAGATGACCCTGTGGCTGTGGGAGGCAGGTGACCCTGTGGCTGTGGGAGGCAGATGACCCTGTGGCTGTGGGAGGCAGGTGACCCTGTGGCTGTGGGAGGCAGGTGACCCTGTGGCTGTGGGAGGCAGGTGACCCTGTGGCTGTGGGAGGCAGGTGACCCTGTGGCTGTGGGAGGCAGGTGACCCTGTGGCTGTGGGAGGCAGGTGACCCTGTGGCTGTGGGAGGCAGGTGACCCTGTGGCTGTGGGAGGCAGGTGACCCCGTGGCTGTGGGAGGCAGATGACCCCAATGCTGGAAAAACTGTGTAGCTTTAGTCTCTGGAAGGAGTACTATTCGCAGTCAACATAGTTTATAAGGGACATCCCTTTTCACGGTTCAGACAGGTAAAAATTCCTCAAGGTTTCCAGTTCTTCACTTTTGGGGTAGCCCATGTTCTTCTCGTTCCCATCCAAGTTCTATGTTCCAAAAAAACCTAAAAAAGACACACCTCTCGACAGGGATGTGCAATTTCTATTGCTCGACGCCTGTGAGATGCAGTTCCGGGCAAGAGTGTTTGGGGTTTTTTCACATTTAGCCCTGCTGTGGGCAAACAGAGGGGTTTAGAGCTGACAGTTGGCTCTCTTGTAAAAGTATCCCAAAGTACAGCCGCAGACCGGTTAGGGTGCCCATGCTGACCCGTGTCCGCAGCCAAAAGCGCCTGCCTGAGCTATGGGCAGATGGATTCAAGGAAATAGATTAGGCAGCAGGTGAAACATGTTGTCCCTGAAGTTGTGTTGAAAGCAGAAAAAATGTTCGTTATAGTTTGTCTATGGGGCTGTGTAGCTGCTGACCCGTCAGAGTGCCCATACTGACCCGTGTCCACAGCCAAAAGCGCCTACAATGGGCAGGTGAGTATCAGAACTGGACCACAGTGCAATGGAAGATGGGGGCCTGGTCTGATGGATCACATTTTCCATCCTATGGCCCGGTGTGAGTGTGTGTGCGTCACTTACCTGGGGAGGAAATGGCACCAGGATGGACTATGGGAAGAAGAAAAGCTGGTTTGGGCAATGTTCTGCTGGGACACCTTGGGTCCTTCCATGTGGACTGAGCAGGACCATAGAGAAACCCTGCCAGAGCCAGGCTCTCGGGTAAAGTATTTGCTCCCTCTCTGGGCATCCCTGAATATAATGATCATTCAACCTTTGTAGCTTGAGGGGGAAGGGGGCTCACATGATGGGTGATTTATTATTTATTTATGTATATATGCTCTTCATTTTCATGTTCCTGAAGTTGGGCTTTAACCACCTCCCGTCTGGCCCGTGTATATAAACGGCTGGATGGGAGCAGTGCAGGGGCAGATGGCCGTTTTATAATCTTCCTCCCCTCACCCCGCTTGTGCGCGCTCCCTGGAAGTGCGCAGCACCGCGATCCGATGTCCGCTGTGTCTGGAGGACAAAGAGGAACAAGGATCGTTGTACAGGACCTCCTGTGCGGTCCCGATCATGTGATCACTGATTGGCCAATCGGTGATCACATGTAGAGTAGTAAGCAAGATGTCACTTCCTGACGACATTGCTTACTACGTGTGAAATCTGTGAATGATCACATGGTACAGGGCCATTCACAACAGCCTTGTACCATGTAACAAGCAGTGACCAATCACAGCTCTCACAGTATTTCTCAATGGCTGCAAGAATGCAGCCAGAGAGAAGGAGAAATGATTGCTTTTACAGCCTTTATGGATGTAAAAGCAGTCTGTGTAAAAAGGAAAAAAAAAAAAAACCAATCTTCATCACCCCCCCACAAATAGTACAGTGACACTTTACTGCTAGGGCAGGAGTAGGCAACCTGCGGCTCTCTAGCTGTTGTGGAACTACTTTTCCCATGAGGCATTGCAACATTACAAAACTGAGAGTTACAGCTATGACTTGCAGAGGCATGATGGAACTTGTAGTCCTGCAACAACTGGAGAGCCGCAGGTCACCTACCCCTGTGCTAGGGTGACAATGTTTAAAAAAAAAAAAAAAACAAACAAAAAAACAAAATATCAAAAAATAAAAATGTTGGCCAAGGTTTACGAAAGATTATTTATTTGCAAAATTTTATAAGAAAAACACTTTTTTTTAGTTTTTTTTCAAAATTTTTGGACTTTTTCATTTCTATAGCAAAAAAAAATTTTAAAAATACCACCAAAATAAAGTTTTATCAGTCTCAAAAAAATGCTAAAAAAATGTATATGGGGTACAGTGTTGCATGACCGCGCAATTGTCATTTCAAAAGTGTGATAGCGCTGAAAGCTGAAAATTGGCCTGGACAGGAAGGGTTAATGGAGGATAAAGAATTTAATAAAAAAAAAAACATTTCGGCTTTTAGTTCAACTTTTAAATGTATCATTACTGGGCAGAATGACCTCATATGGTGGGCATTGCGAAGACTTCATTAGAACCAAGACGGTTTTGCTTTTTCAGAAATGATAAACTAGAAGGATACAAATGGAATAAAATAAAAAGTGCCTGAGCCATGAGGACAGACTGTACATAGGGGTGGGGCTATACAACTAGAAAGGTAGACCAAGTCCCAACGCCTCAGCCACTTAGCTGGTTGCTGAGTAGAACAAGGAAGTGCTTTTGGGAACAGATCTCTCCAAATGTAGAACATCGTCCTGATTTTGTCCATTTGTATGTCGTAGTTGTACTCTTGAGGACATGACCAGCTTCCCGGAGAGAAGTAGAAGCTGTATATGGGGACTTTGTGATGTTTTTATTTTGAAGTTTTAGGTATTGCAATTTTTTAGGTAGGTATGTTGTTTTCTCCTTGGACCAATACCCTCCCTGTGGGATCCCTCTAGACAGGGTTCCTCCAGAGGTTGCAAGGGGCTCCTTGAGCAAGTTCTGCCTCTCGGATAAGGTCCCACTGATACCATTTTGATCTTTGTAGCTTTCTGTAAGGAAGGCATTCTTCCCACTGACCCCCAATGTAAGGGGCATTCTTCCCTCTGACCCCCAATGTAAGGGGCATTCTTCCCACTGACCCCAATGTAAGGGACATTCTTCCCACTGACCCCCAATGTAAGGGGCATTCTTCCCTCTGACCCCCAATGTAAGGGACATTCTTTTTACTGACCCCCAATGTAAGGGACATTCTTTTTACTGACCCCCCAATGTAAGGGACATTCTTCCCACTGACCACCAATGTAAGGGGCATTCTTCCCACTGACCACCAATGTAAGGAGCATTCTTCCCACTGACCCCCAATGTAAGGGACATTCTTCCCACTGACCCCCAATGTAAGGGACATTCTTCCCACTGACCCCCAATGTAAGGGACATTCTTCCAACTGACCCCCAATGTAAGGGACATTCTTCCCACTGACCCCCAATGTAAGGGACATTCTTCCCACTGACCCCCAATGTAAGGGACATTTCTTCCCACTGACCCCCAATGTAAGGGACATTCTTCCCACTGACCCCCAATGTAAGGGACATTCTTCCCACTGACCCCCAATGTAAGGAGCATTTTTCCCACTGACCCCCAATGTAAGGAGCATTCTTCCCACTGACCCCCAATGTAAGGAGCATTCTTCCCACTGACCCCCAATGTAAGGGGCATTCTTCCCACTGACCCCCAATGTAAGGGGCATTCTTCCCACTGACCACCAATGTAAGGGACATTCTTCCCCACTGACCACCAATGTAAGGGACATTCTTCCCACTGACCACCAATGTAAGGGACGTTCTTCCCACTGACCCCAATGTAAGGGGCCCCCACTGACCCCCAATGTAAGGGACGTTCTTCCCACTGACCCCCAATGTAAGGGACGTTCTTCCCACTGACCCCCAATGTAAGGGGACATTCTTCCCACTGACCCCCAATGTAAGGGACATTCTTCCCACTGATCACCAATGTAAGGGGACCTTCTACCCACGGCCCACCCCCAACAATGTAAGGAGCGTTCTCCCACTGACCCCCTGACTAGGTTGTCTGATGGGGGTGGGTGCGAAAAAATTATCATAGGGGGGCAGAGGATGAGGGGTCAGCTGGGGAGGGTACAGGCGGTCTGTTGTGTAGAGGACAGGGGGCCAACTTAGAGGAGACTGGGGAACCATTCACAGCATTGGAGACACCCTCCAGGAGCCAATGGTAAGGTAAGTATTTACTCCCTGATTTGTGCATCACTACCCGTGCAGGGGGGGGAAGGGGGCTCACTTGATGGGTTAATATTTTATTTTTTTTATGTCCCTGAAGTTGGGTGTTATTGGAGGATAAAGAAAAGCTTTTTGCTTTTAGTTCTACTTGAAGTAAATGTATCTTTATTGGGTGGACTGACCTACAGGGAGCACTAAGAGAGGCTGCATTAGGGTCACAATTTTGTTTTCTGAGAATTATAAACTAGAAGGATACAAATGGAATCTTATTAAAAAGAAGTGCCTGAGCCGAGGACAGACTGTACATCGGGGTATACAATGCCACAATAAAGGCAGACTGAACCACCGCGTATTAGCCACTTGGCTGGTTTCTGAGTAGAACACGTAAGTGCTTTTGGCAAAAGATGTCTCCAAATGTAGAAAACCATTTAGTTGTGTATATTTGTATGTCTGGACTGATGCAGCTGCTGACCGTTTAGTCTTGAGGACATGACCAGCTTCCTGGAGACATGTAGAAGCTGTATATAGGGACTTTGTGAGAATATATATATTTGTATTGTTGTTGTTTTATTTTTTAATATTTATTTTAATTTTTTAATTTTTAATTTCATTTTTAATTTTTTTTATTTTTACTTTTTACTTCTATTTTTAGTTTTTTTTTATTTTTACTTTTTAATTTTTTTTTTTTTATTATTTTTAAAGCTGAATTTTGGGTATGGCAATGTGACGGAAGCGTAGGTAGGACAGAACACACAAAGAAGATGGTAAACACACAAAGCTTTATTGAACTATGAAAGACACTCAATCAGGACAGTTCATGGCACTCCGCGACATGCGGCTTGTAGGGACACCCACGGTAAGCGGGCTCATGGGGCCTCAACGGGATATTGGCTGTGGAGTCTGGCCTCAACATAGCTCCCACCCAGCTTTCTAGGGACATCAGGCTCATGGGGCCTCAACAGGACTTTGGCTGTGGAGTCTGGTCTCAACACAGCTCCCACACAGCATACTAGGGACAACAGGCTCATGGGGCCTCAACGGGACTTTGGCTGTGGAGTCTGGCCTCAACATAGCTCCCATCCAGCTTTCTAGGGACATCGGGCTCACGGGGACTCAATGGGACTTTGGCTGTGGAGTCTGGCCTCAACATAGCTCCCACCCAGCTTTCTAGGGACATCAGGCTCACGGGGCCTCAACAGGATTTTGGCTGTGGAGTCTGGCCTCAACATAGCTCCCACCCAGCTTTCTAGGGACATCAGGCTCACGGGGCCTCAAAGGACTTTGGCTGTGGAGTCTGGCCTCAACATAGCTCCCACCCAGCTTTCTAGGGACATCAGGCTCACGGGGACTCAACAGGATTTTGGCTGTGGAGTCTGGCCTCAACATAGCTCCCACCCAGCATTCTAGGGACATCAGGCTCACGGGGACTCAACTGGACTTTGGCTGTGGAGTCTGGCCTCAACACAGCTCCCACACCGTGTGCTAGGGACGACATCATGCTCACGGGGACTCAGCAGGTGGCGATGGCTCCAGCACTCAGGGGCATCCCAGGTAGCTATACTCCGGGCACGCCATGGGGCGGTTCAAGTAAGGGTGGTCTGAGCGCACAATAGGGACAGTTCATGACACGGGTGGGTCTGGGCGCACAATAGGGGCAGCTCATGACAAGGGTGGTCTGAGCACACAATAGGGCAGTTCATGACACGGGTGGTCTGGGCGCACAATAGGGGCAGCTCATGACAAGGGTGGTCTGAGCACACAATAGGGGCAGTTCATGACACGGGTGGTCTGGGCGCACAATAGGGGCAGTTCATGACACGGGTGGTCTGGGCGCACAATAGGGACAGTTCATGACACGGTTGGTCTGGGCGCCCAATAGGGACAGTTCATGACACGGGTGGTCTGGGCGCACAATAGGGGCAGTTCATGACAAGGGTGGTCTGGGCGCACAATAGGGACAGTTCATGACACGGTTGGTCTGGGCGCACAATAGGGACAATTCATGACACAGGTGGTCTGGGCGCACAATAGGGACAGTTCATGGCTTCTAGAGACACTCACGATAGGCGTCTTGCAGATGTTCAGCAGCAGGCGGCTTCCAGGGAGGTAGGCGACTTGCGGACACTCACGGCTCCGGCAGGTAGGTCCTGGCTCACAGCAGGCGACAGGAACAAAAAAAGGGGGGGCAAACCACCTCAGCACACAGCACAGCGGGTCATCTGGGCCCCAGAGTGTTAGGCAGGGTATCATGGGAAAATATGTAAAGAAAACAAAACCTCAGCGCCCAGGACTCTCCTATTTAACACACAAATCCCCGTGAGATGCTGCTGTGCACAGGTACAAAGACCAAAAAAACTTTTAACAATGAAAACCAGCGCAAACCCACATATTCAATTGCATTACTCAACTTGAAAAATCATTTTTTTGCTAATAAAGATATATATAATAAATTATATATAAATAAATTAATATAAAAACATTAAATTAAATTCATAAGTCCATAAGATTTTCTTTGGGGGATTCGGTGAGAGGAGTAAGCAGAAGAGGTACCCAAATATAAGAGGAAACAGCATTTGGAGGTCTCATAAAGGGGGTCCAGGAGCCCTTAATATTCCTGAAAGGCGTGTGACTTACTAATATCTGGTGAGTGCGGTTAATGTTGATTTCTGCACTGGTGGATGGTGAAGGGATCAGTAACACGGAAGAATCCAATGATAATTATAAATTGATTTATTTTTGTCATGGGACTGTTAAATATATATATATATATTTTTTTGGGACTTTTTCGATTTTTTATCACTTGATTTTTTTTGTCACTGGACTTATGAATTTAATTTAATGTTTTTATTTTTATATTAATTTATTTATATATAATTTATTATATATATCTTTATTAGCAAAAAAATGATTTTTCAAGTTGAGTAATGCAATTGAATATGTGGGTTTGCGCTGGTTTTCATTGTTAAAAGGGTATCATGGGGCCCACAGCAAAACAGTTCTAGCCCACAGCACAGCGGATCATCTGGGTCTCAGAGTAGGAGGGGGATTGCAGGGAGTGGGACAGCGCCCAGTATGGAAATAGCAAGGAGAGGGCCAGTCCAGCCCCAGTGCAAAGTTAAAGTCTTTACAGCACTTTGTAATCCAACAGAGAGGCAGAGGGGAAGTACAAGAACAGTTCAGGCAAAACGGGGAGCATACACTCACAGATCCGACAGGGCGCCCGAGCCCATAGGGATATAGGATAGTATGACACAGGTACCTGCCAGGGTCCGGAGTATGCGTGGTAGTATTCCCTGGAAGGGGGGGTGAAAGCATCCGGACTGGAAGGGGGGGGGTGAAAGCGTGCGGACTGGAAGGGGGGGGGGGGGGGTGAAAGCGTGCGGACTGGAAGGGGGGGGGGGAAAAAGCGTGCGGACTGGAAGGGGGGGGGTGAAAGCGTGCGGACTGGAAGAGGCGAAAGCGTGCGGACTGGAAGGGGGGGGGTGAAAGCGTGCGGACTGGAAGGGGCGAAAGCGTGCGGACTGGAAGGGGGGGCGAAAGCGTGCGGACTGGAAGGGGGGGGCGAAAGCGTGCGGACTGGAAGGGGGGGGCGAAAGCGTGCGGACTGGAAGGGGGGGGCGAAAGCGTGCGGACTGGAAGGGGGGGGCGAAAGCGTGCGGACTGGAAGGGGGGGGCGAAAGCGTGCGGACTGGAAGGGGGGGGCGAAAGCGTGCGGACTGGAAGGGGGGGGCGAAAGCGTGCGGACTGGAAGGGGGGGGGCGAAAGCGTGCGGACTGGAAGGGGGGGGCGAAAGCGTGCGGACTGGAAGGGGGGGGCGAAAGCGTGCGGACTGGAAGGGGGGGGAGGCGAAAGCGTGCGGACTGGAAGGGGGAGGCGAAAGCGTGCGGACTGGAAGGGGGAGGCGAAAGCGTGCGGACTGGAAGGGGGAGGCGAAAGCGTGGGACTGGAAGGGGGAGGCGAAAGCGTGCGGACTGGAAGGGGGAGGCGAAAGCGTGCGGACTGGAAGGGGGAGGCGAAAGCGTGCGGACTGGAAGGGGGAGGCGAAAGCGTGCGGACTGGAAGGGGGAGGCGAAGGCGTGCGGACTGGAAGGGGGAGGCGAAGGCGTGCGGACTGGAAGGGGGAGGCGAAGGCGTGCGGACTGGAAGGGGGGGGCGAAGGCGTGCGGACTGGAAGGGGGGAGGCGAAAGCGTGCGGACTGGAAGGAGGGGCGAAAGCGTGCGGACTGGAAGGGGGGGGGGTGAAAGCGTGCGGACTGGAAGGGGGGGGGTGAAAGCGTGCGGACTGGAAGGGGCGAAAAGCGTGCGGACTGGAAGGGGGGAGGGGTGAAAGCGTCCGGACTTGAAGGGGGGGGGGGTGAAAGCGTCCGGACTGGAAGGGGGGGGGGGGAGAAAGCATCCGGACTGGAAGGGGGGGGGTGAAAGCGTCCGGACTTGAAGGGGGGGGGGGAAAGCGTCCGGACTGGAAGGGGGGGGGGGAAGCGTCCGGACTGGAAGGGGGGGGGGGGAAAAGCGTCCGGACTGGAAGGGGGGGGGAAGCGTCCGGACTGGAAGGGGGGGGGAAGCGTCCGGACTGGAAGGGGGGGGGGGGGGGGGTGAAAGCGTCCGGACTGGAAGGGGGGGGGGGGGGGGAAAGCGTGCGGACTGGAAGGGGGGGGAAAGCGTCTGGACGGGAAGTGGGTAATGACCGAGCTTTTTCGTCTTCTCTCCTCCTAGAGAAAGGCGTTGTGTTTGGAGCGCCATTAACAGAGGAAGGAATCGCACAAATATACCAGTTGATTGAGTACCTGCATAAGAGTAAGTGAACGATTTCTCTGTCTATTCTACTGGGAAGTATCGCTAAAACCTAACCCCTCCCCCCTCGCCTCTCCCCCCCCCCCCCCCCTCATAGACCTTTTATCTAAGGGGAGAATATATTGAATAGACTTTATTATTGTAACATATCTGAAAGTAACTTTTGGCAAGAATGTCAAATTTTGACTGTACTGAATGCCCGGTTATTTTTTATTTATTTATTTACACAGTGGTAGTGGTCATGGGTTGGAGCCCTTGTTGGGTTTTATGGCCATCTGGTACTCCGAGAGATCCCACACCCTTTTTTTCCCACTGATAATGGGGGGGGGGGGGGCGCAGATAGCAGGAACGTCTAAAAGGGTCCTCTTGTCCCCTATATTTAAAACCGCTCATCTCTCCAGAGAAAATGAAACGGTCCCCGCCATACTTGCCTCCTCTCTCTCCAGTCCCTGCTCTCCTTCCCCTATAGCATGACCATGTTACACACCACGTGTGCCGTCTGCTAGTTGCTCCTCTCCGGACCCCGCTTACGTTCCTGCTGCTCCACGCTGCACACCAGATGTGACATCTGCACCAGACACTTCTAGAATAATATACATATGAACCAGAAGTAAGTGACTGATGACTACTTTCCGGTTTGCCTGTTGGTTTACCCAGTGCGTCCTGGGATTTCTCATACCTGCAAAAACTACCTCATACCTGCAAATCAAAGTGAAGCTAAAAGCCCCTCAGAAGCTGAAGGTGCTGTTAGTGAGCATTGTTCTAGACTTCTATGGAGGCTTTGGAGACGCTTTGTAGCACCAACAAAATGGGACTGTATGGTAACCATTTATTTAGTGAGAGGAGCCCTGATTGGCCGTCATAGCGCTTTAAAAAAGCGTATCCACGTCCACATTTTTGCAGCAAATGTAAAGGAGCCCCAACAAAACTCGAGCTGCAAGTCAGGCTATGAACTTCCTTCAATGTGCAGATTAGTTGAGACGTACCGTATTTTTCGCTCCATAAGACGCACCTAGGTTTTAGAGAAGAAAAACAAGAAAAAAAATATTCTGAACCAATGGACTACAGACATAGTACAGGAGATGACCAGAGACTGCGGACACGGTACAGGAGATGACCAGAGACTGCGGACACGGTACAGGAGATGACCAGAGACTGCGGACACGGTACAGGAGATGACCAGAGACTGCGGACATAGTACAGGAGATGACCAGAGACTGTGGACATAGTACAGGAGATGACCAGAGACTGCGGACCTAGTACAGGAGATGACCAGAGACTGCGGACACGGTACAGGAGATGACCAGAGACTGCGGACACGGTACAGGAGATGACCAGAGACTGCGGACACGGTACAGGAGATGACCAGAGACTGCGGACACAGGGAGATGACAGAGACTGCAGGGGAGATGACCAGAGACTGCGGACACGGTACAGGAGATGACCAGAGACTGCGGACATAGTACAGGAGATGACCAGAGACTGCGGACACGGTACAGGAGATGACCAGAGACTGCGGACACGGTACAGGAGATGACCAGAGACTGCGGACACGGTACAGGAGATGACGGACTGCGGACACGGTACAGGAGATGACCAGAGACTGCGGACACGGTACAGGAGATGATCAGAGACTGCGGACACGGTACAGGGAGGACCAGAGACTGCGGACACGGTACAGGGGACGGACCAGAGACTGCGGACACGGTACAGGGGAGGACGGCAGAGGCTGCGGACACGGTACAGGAGACACGGTACAGGGGAGGCTGCGGACTGCGGACACGGTACAGGAGACGGCCAGAGACTGCGGACACGGTACAGGGAGAGACTGCGGACACGGTACAGGGGAGGACCAGAGACTGCGGACTCGGTACAGGGGACGACCAGAGACTGCGTACCTTTGGGGAGGGAGGGGGAATGGAAACCTGAATTTGACAGGTACCCGCTCCCACTTCGTGTGTCCCAGAAGACACCGGACCATTCACAAAGCGCGGCGCTTCTCGCACATGCGCAGTGGGCACCCGGCTATCACAGAAGCCGCCGCGGGAAGACTGCAGCGCTGGAGCGAGGAACAGGTAAGGTCCTGCAGGAGAGAAGAGCTGAGCAGCCGGCCCGATATTCTGACATGGTGGCGGCAGAAATACCGGACCGGACCGCTTTACATTCGCTCCATAAGACGCACTGACATTTCCCCCCCTTTTTTGGGGGGAAAAAAGTGCGTCTTATGGAGTGAAAAATACAGTAGATATTACAATCCTCTGCAGACACCGAGGGAAGTAAAGAACCCGCCCTTTCATCTTCTCACTTCCCAAATTTTCTATTCGTTGGCTTTTGAAAGGGATAAAATCTGCTGAAGATTAAACGGTTTGAGATTGTTTTTGGAATTGACCCCCTTGTGTCTCTTCTCATTGCACTCCACAGATCTGCGCACAGAAGGCTTATTCCGAATCCCTGGGAACAGCAACCGCCAGCAGATCCTCAAAGACTGTCTCAACAGTGGAACGGATCTGGATGTGGATTCCGGTGAATTTCATCCCAACGATGTGGCCACAATACTGAAGGTGTTCCTGGGAGAACTGCCCGAGCCTCTGCTGACACGCAGACATTATCTCGCTCATTTAAAGATTGCAGGTAAAACCAGCCGTCCTATCAGGACGCGGAAAACCCTTTTTTTGTGCCATTGGACGGTTCCTGTATGGCAGGTTTTACATAGTTGCATTGTTTCAGCTTAGACAAATATATATGTATATGCCATACCTATGGGGGACCCTCTAGAACGTGGGTGCCACACCTGTGGCCCTACAGCTGTCACAGGACTACAAGTCCCATCATGCCTCATGGGACTTGTAGTTCCTCGAGTGCTGGAGGGCAACAGGCTGAGCACCCATTCTCTAGAAGAGTGTACTCCAAACTGCAGCCTGGGGGCCAGATGGTCCTTTGCTTGCCTTTTTCTGGCCTTTGGCGCACTATTTCTTCCACTGACACCAGCAACGGGGCATAATTCCTGTCGTTCATACTGATACTGAAATTGGGCACTATTCCTTCCACTGATAGTAATGGGGCACTATTCCTCCCGCTGGCACTATTGGTGGGCCGCCATTCCTCCCGCTGGCACTATTGGTGGGCCGCCATTCCTCCCGCTGGCACTATTGGTGGGCCGCCATTCCTCCCCCTGGCACTATTGGTGGGCCGCCATTCCTCCCGCTGGCACTATTGGTGGGCCGCCATTCCTCCCGCTGGCACTATTGGTGGGCCGCCATTCCTCCCGCTGGCACTATTGGTGGGCCGCCATTCCTCCCGCTGGCACTATTGGTGGGCCGCCATTCCTCCCGCTGGCACTATTGGTGGGCCGCCATTCCTCCCGCTGGCACTATTGGTGGGCCGCCATTCCTCCCGCTGGCGCCCTATTGGTGGGCCGCCATTCCTCCCGCTGGCACTATTGCCCATTCCTCCCATTCACACCACTGGTGGGCCGCCATGCCTCCCGCTGGCGCCCATGGTGGGCCACCATGCTCCCGCTGGCACCCATGGTGAGAAATGTTCTGCTCCCACTGGTCACAGCCTGGCCCCCTCAAAGTTTGAAGGACAGTAAACATGCCCTTTTTGTTTAGTAAGTTTAGAGACCCCTGCTCTAGAAGCTGGAAATCCCTGTACAGGCTTGGCTACTGCAGTGATTTTCAGCTTTCACGGGGGTCCTGCAGGTATGGCACTTAACAGACTTACAGAAGTCCAAGCTGGACCAAAAAAAACTGCCATACCTGGAATTCAGCTTTTAATATTTACTTTCTGTTTAATATCCGCTAGTTTTACATGACTCTGATTGGATGATGGTGGAGATAGTCACATCACTGCCCCACCTCTCCATGTCCAATCAGAGAATTCATTGTGTTCCCTGAATGGAGCCCGTACCAAGCAATCAACCGTCTAATTCTACAGGGAAGGCTCTTGTCATGGGACCTGGAAGCTAATGGTAGATTGCTTTTCAGAGGGTAGTTGATAAGGCGGCTGTGAGGTAATGTCACCTGCTTACTGCCTATTTTAACCTTGAAAAGCCCACACCGTCACACTGCAGCTGTGTGCATTGCGGTGCGCTTGCAGCGTGGCCCCATTCCCTTTAATGGGTCACATTTGGTGACAGTACTGCCCCTTGAATGGAATAGTGAGTGTCTCTTTTCTGCAGCCACAAAGCATTGTAGGCACACCATGTGAACAACCTCTTCAGCTGCTGTATTGGGTTAAGGGTAGCGGTTGGGGAGCCATAAAACCAAGGCTGCATATTTTTACAGACACTCCCCCCTACCCCCCAGTCTGTAGAGCCCTACAGGAAAAACAGTATTGGAAAAAAGAAAACTGATGCAGGCAACACATCAGAGAGGGCGCTCTGGTGGGGGTCCCCGGGCTAAAGAGAGGGCACTCTGTTGGGGGCCCCCGGGGTAAAGGGGGGTGCTCTGGTGGGGGGCCCCCGGGATAAAGGGCGGGCGCTCTGGTGGGGGGCCCCCGGGATAAAGGGCGGCCGCTCTGGTGGGGGGCCCCCGGGATAAAGGGCGGGCGCTCTGGGGGGGGCCCCCGGGATAAAGGGCGGGCGCTCTGGTGGGTGCCCCCGGGGTAAAGGGTGGCGCTCTGTTGGGGACCTCTGGGTACAGCAAGGGAGAATGTCACCAGCACATCGAGGATCACCAATATGGGGCCAAAAGTTTTGATGAACAATCACATAGTTACAGCAAGACAACGTTTTGGAGTCTCACAGGGCCCCCTCATCAGTCATGTGACGTCATTAAAACTTTTGGCCCTATATTGGTGATCCTCGGTGTGCTGGTGACATTCTCCCTCGCTGATTCTGTTCGCTTCCAGCCTGCGGTCGCTGCAGCACCCACTTATACACACCGCCATTTTTAACGCAGGAACGCGTGTGTTTGATTGTACACTGGCCTAGGGGTACAGGGTGCTCTGGTGGGGGCCCCAGGCTTAGGGCACTGTGGAAGGGGCCACCCCAGGGTACGGGGCGCTCTGGTGGGGGGTCCCCCACCCCACGATGTAAGGGGGCGCTCTGATGTAGGGTGTTTTTTATGGGGATCCTGATCAAAGGCGGGATATTTAAGAAAACAAAATGCAGGCTGGAGATAGAGATATATACATACATACTATAAAATATATAATATATATATATATATATATATATATATATATATATATATATATATATATATATATATATAATAAAAAATTATTTTGTGTATACATTATGTATGAGTGTATAGATAGATAATTATTTTTTTTAATCACGTTTATTTGGAATTTTTTTTTTTGTTTTACTTAAGCACTTTCTCTGTTCTTTTTGAGTCATACCTCGTGACGTACATTTTAAAAAGAACTTTTTTGCCCCTCGAATATTTTCTAGCTTATACAATGTGGCACCCGTACCTTTTTTGTTAGTTTGTAGGTTTTGTACAATTAGGACATATTTAAAAAAAAAATAAAACAAAAAAAGTAAAGTACAGTCTCTCTCTCTCTTCACAGACCTCATGCTTTTTGATGACAAGGGGAACCGCACAGGGGCCCCGGATAAAGAAAGACAGATTGAGGCTCTGCAGCTCCTGTTCCTGCTCCTTCCATCCCCCAACAGGAATCTTCTCAAATTGCTCTTGGATCTCCTCTACCAAACGGCCAAGAAACAAGACCGTAACAAGATGTCCGCCCACAACCTGGCGCTGATGTTTGCTCCACACATCATATGGCCTAAGAACGTAAGTGTCCTACATGCGTGGCGTGGGAGGCGTGTCTCCAGCTGCTCTTCTAATGGATATTGGCCACCTGCCGGCCACGTGTCTGGGAAGCTGACGAGATATCTCTTCCCTCCAAGCCTTGGCTGCCGAAATGATCGTTCGCTTCATGCAGATGGAGGAATGAGTGTCTTCCTGGAGAACGGACAAATTGTCGTCAAGTCTGATGCATCACAGGCGCTTGGGGGGGGTTTGGTAGATAATGAAGTGCAAGTCTTTCTGAAATACATCGCAATTACGTGATCAGGTATTATAGAGGACGTTCTCCAAATAAATTGTATCAGAATGCTTTACGGCTAGATCGCCAAAAAAGGAGGACATTGGAGGAATAAATGAAGAGTTCATTTACATTTTTGCTTTTTTTAAAATTTTTTAATCAATGTTCATGAGTGCAAAGTACCGTATTTTTCATTCCATAAGACACACCTAAGTTTTTAGAGGAGGAAAACCAGAAAAAAAAATATTCTGAACCAATGGACTGCAGACGTAGTACAGGAGGACCAGAGACTGCACCTAATAAAGGAGATGACCAGAGACTGCGGACCTAGTACAGGAGATGACCAGAGACTGCAGACCTAGTAAAGGAGATGACCAGAGACTGCAGACATAGTACAGGAGATGACCAGAGACTGCGGACATAGTACAGGAGATGACCAGAGACTGCGGACACGTACAGGAGATGACCAGAGACTGCAAACTTAGTACAGGAGATGACCAGAGACTGCAGACCTAATAAAGGAGATGACCAGAGACTGCGACATAGTACAGGAGAGGACCAGAGACTGCGGACACAGTACAGGAGATGACCAGAGACTGCGGACAGTACAGGAGATGACCAGAGACTGCAGACTTAGTACAGGAGATGACCAGAGACTGCAGACTTAGTACAGGAGATGACCAGAGACTGCAGACTTAGTACAGGAGATGACCAGAGACTGCAGACATAGTACAGGAGATGACCAGAGACTGCGGACACAGTACAGGAGATGACCAGAGACTGCAGACTTAGTACAGGAGATGACCAGAGACTGCGGACACGTACAGGAGATGACCAGAGACTGCAGACGGACACAGTACAGGAGAGGACCAGAGACTGCGGACACAGTACGGGAGCTGACCAGAGACTGCGGACACGGTACGGGAGCTGACCAGAGACTGCGGACACGGTACGGGAGCTGACCAGAGACTGCGGACACGGTACGGGAGCTGACCAGAGACTGCGGACACGGTACGGGAGCGGACCAGAGACTGCGGACACGGTACGGGAGCGGACCAGAGACTGCGGACACGGTACGGGAGCGGACCAGAGACTGCGGACACGGTACGGGAGATGACCAGAGACTGCGGACCTTGCGGGAGCGGATATCCTGCATTCCCTCAGTTGTATTGCCCCCTTTAGTGTCAATGACAGCGTACCGTCTTTTGTAATAGTTGTCTATGAGGCCCCCGGATTCTTGCCGGTGGTACAGCTGCCCTTTCGTCTTGGCAAAATGCCTCCATGTAATGCAGTCTTTGGTCGTTTTGAATGAACTTCACATTTGAGATCTCTCCAGAGTGACTCGGTGATATTTAGGTTGGGAGACTGTGATTGCCACTCCAGAACCTTCACCTTTTTCTGTTGTATCCACTGGAGGGTCAACTTGGCCTTGGGGTCATTGTCATGCTGGAAGGTCCAAGAGCGTCCCATGTGCAGCTTTCGAGCCGAAGAATGCAAATTGTCTGCCAGTGTTTTCTGATCCTGCATTCATCTTGCCATCAGTTTTCGATAGATTCCCGGTGCCTTTAGAGCTCACACAGCCCAAAGTATCAGTGAGCCACCACCATGCTTCACAGTGGGGATGGTATTCTTGTGTCTAAAGGCCTTGTTGACCCTTCTCTAAACTTGGCACTTATGGTTATCTTTAATGCCAAACTTGGTCCAACACCATATTGGGTTCGGGCTCATTTTCCACCTCCTGAGGACTGGAAGAATTTGTGCATGATGAGTGGTATCTGATTCCATTAGCCACCATTCAAGACTTTGGCATTAAAGATGGCCTGAGTTCTCCTGGGAATTGACAAATCGAAGTCTTGAATGGTGGCCAATGGAATGAGATACCACTCATCGTGCACAAATTCTTCCAGTCCTCAGGAGATGGAAAACGAGCCCGAACCCAATATGATGTTGGACCAAGTTTGGCAGTAAAGATGGCCTGAGTTCTCCTTGGAATTGACAAATCAAACTTGGTCCAATACCTTATTGGGTTTGGGCTTGTTTTCCACCTCCTGGGGACTGGAAAGATTTGCGCATGAGTGGTATTTGATTCCATTAGTCACCATTCAAGACTTCGATTTGTCAATTCCCAGGAGAACTCAGGCCGTCTTTAATGCCAAACTTGGTCCAACATCATATTGGGTTCGGGCTCGTTTTCATGCACAAATCCTCCAGTCCTCAGGAGGTGGAAAACGAGCCCGAATCCAATATGGTGTTGGACCAAGTTTGGTAGTAAAGATGGCCTGAGTTCTCCTGGGAATTGATAAATCAAAGTCTTGAATGGTGACTAATGGAATCAGATACCACTCTTCATGCGTAAATCCTTCCAATCCTCAGGAGGTGGAAAACGAGCCCGAACACAATATGGTGTTAGGCTGTCTTTTACTGCCAAACTTGGTCCAACACCATATTGGTTTCGGGCTCGTTTTCCACCTCTAAGGACTGGAAGGATTTGTTCATGATGAGTGGTATCTGATTCCATTCGCCACCATTCAAGACATTGATTTGTCAATTCCCAGGAGAACTCGGGCCATCATTACTGCCAAACTTGGTCCAAGTTCTCCTGGGAATTGACAAATAAAAAGTCTTGAATGGTGGCCAATGGAATCAGATACCGCTCTTCATGCACAAATCCTTCCAGTCCTCAGGAGGTGGAAGAGTGGTATCTGATTCCATTGGCCACGATTCAAGACTTTGATTTGTCAATTCCCAGGAGAACTCAGGCCGTCTTTACTGCCAAACTTGGTCCAACACCATATTGGGTTCGGGCTCATTTTCCACCTCCTGAGGACTGGAAGGATTTGTGCATGAAGAGCAGTATCTGATTCCATTGGCCACCATTCTTTTTTCACTTTTTATTTGTCAATTCCCAGGAGAACTTGGACCAAGTTTGGCAGTAAAGATGGCCTAAGTTCTCCTGGGAATTGACAAATCAATGTCTAGAATGGTGGCTAATGAAATCAGATACCACTCATGAACAAATCCTTCCAGTCCTCAGAGGTGTAAAACGAGCCCGAACCAAATATGGTGTTGGACCAAGTTTGGCAGTAAAAGACAGCCTAACACCATATTGGGTTCGGGCTCATTTTCCACCTCCTGAGGACTGGAACAATTTGTGCATGAAGAGTGGTATCTGATTCCATTGGCCACCATTGAAGACTTTTTATTTGTCAATTCCCAGGACCAAATCAACTTGGTCCAACACCTTATTTGGTTTGGGCTTGTTTTTCGCCTGAGTACTGGAAGGATTTGTGCATGAAGAGTGGTATCTGATTCCATTAGCCACCATTCAAGACTTTGATTTGTCAGTTCCCAGCAGAACTCAGTCCGTCTTTACTGCCAAACTTGGTCCAACACCATATTGGGTACCGATGTTCTTTTATTTGATGTTTTCCATAATTTTGTCCAACCCCTGTAAATAGGCAAGATAGTAAAAAGTAGAGAAAAAAAGACATTTAGAATGTTACAATAGTAACTTTATGCACGTACTCTACTAAAAATACATTGTGTTAGATATGAATATGACACATGAGGTTTTCTTCCCGGTTACTAATTACTCCCCATGGGTCTGACCATACTTCTTTTGATTTCTGTACTCGGTGTTCTCGTGTGCTGGAAGCCCCATGCCGGCTTAATATGTGAACGGTACATTTGAAACAGAGCGGTGCATGGGAGGTCACCAGGCCGGCGGTCGTTTTTTTCAAGCAGGCTTCTTTTGAAATGCAGATTAAAGACACATGGTTAAGTGCCTCTTAAGACTTCTATAACAGGACAAATTATTACCGACTGTTCGTCAAACAACTTCGCAAAAGGGACTAATGGGACGAGCGCTGGGTACAATTTTTTTTTTTTTTTTTTTTTTTTCCTTTAATTGTACCTACCCATTGAGCATCACCCAGTTGATGACTCACTGCCATTAAAGCTCACCTATTAACTTGCTGATTGGACTAGGCGTATAATTGTACTTCAGTTACTGGAAGTGCATTTATGGTCTATAGAGTGCCACATGCACTGGCCTTAACTGACTTACGCCATTTTTTTTTTTTTATTCTTCAGTAGAGAACAAAAAGGGGGTTAGTTGTTGACGGCTTTTTTTTTTTTTCTCAGAATAGGTGCAGGTGCTCCCCCCTTCCGAGTCACCCCTTGTCTTTCTCCACCCCCTACCCACATCTGAGCATCGTCCCTTGGTTCCATTCTTCACCCACCTCCGAGCACTGTCCCTTGGTTGCATCCTATACCCACCTCCGAACACAGTCTCTTGGTTCCTCCCCCTACCCACTTCTGAGCACCGTCCCTTGGTTCCACCATTTACCCACCTCCGAGCACCGTCCCTTGGTTCCACCATTTACCCACCTCCGAGCACCGTCCCTTGGTTCCACCATTTACCCACCTCCGAGCACCGTCCCTTGGTTCCACCATTTACCCACCTCCGAGCACCGTCCCTTGGTTCCACCATTTACCCACCTCCGAGCACCGTCCCTTGGTTCCACCATTTACCCACCTCCGAGCACCGTCCCTTGGTTCCACCATTTACCCACCTCCGAGCACCGTCCCTTGGTTCCACCATTTACCCACCTCCGAGCACCGTCCCTTGGTTCCACCCCCTACCGAGCACCGTCCCTTGGTTCCACCATTTACCCACCCACCTCCGAGCACCGTCCCTTGGTTCCACCCCCTACCCACCTCCGAGCACCGTCCCTTGGTTCCACCCCCTACCCACCTCCGAGCACCGTCCCTTGGTTCCCCACCTCCGAGCACCGTCCTTGGTTCCACCCCCTACCCACCTCCGAGCACCGTCCCTTGGTTCCACCCCCTACCCACCTCCGAGCACCGTCCCTTGGTTCCACCCCCTACCCACCTCCGAGCACCGTCCCTTGGTTCCACCCCCTACCCACCTCCGAGCACCGTCCCTTGGTTCCACCCCCTACCCACCTCCGAGCACCGTCCCTTGGTTCCACCTACCCACCTCCGAGCACCGTCCCTTGGTTCCACCCCCTACCCACCTCCGAGCACCGTCCCTTGGTTCTACCCATTACCCACTTCTGAGCACCGTCCCTGGGTTCCACCCGTTACTTCTGAGCACTGTCCTTTGGTTCCACCTTTTACCCACCTTCGAACACCGTCCCTTGGTTCCACCCCCAACCCGCTTCTGAGCACCGTCCTTTGGTTCCATCATTTACCCGCCTCTGAGCACCGTTTTTATCACAGTTGCGTGATGGTTTAAGGCTTTGAGGTTGTAATCGAGATGTGCAAAGCAGGATCACACGAACACTTGTATGTACAACATTTTAATTACGTAATGACAGGTAAAGATAACAAATGTAGTAATATTGAAAAATGTAACAAAATACTTACCTATAGATAGAATGTAGATGCTCTTCCAAGGGTCCCCGCCCGTTTCCAGCTCGGCAGATGATCAGGGGCAGACACATGATTATCGCAGCTCTGTTGGTGCCGGTTCACATGTATGCGGTACTGGATGTGGTTTGAACCGCAGCCAATCCGCATGGCGTGTAAAATAACATTGCTTCCTGTGGTGCCTGTTCACATGTGTCCAGTGCACTGGCAGTGCAGATTGAAAGAGTCATGTCTGACTTCTGAGCAGTGCGGTCAGGTTCAGGTGCAGATTACAGGCTATTGACTTCTATGGGAACCGTTTCTAAACTGCACGTTATCAGTTGTAAACTGGATGAATTCCTGATCTAAACCTGACCTGGACCTCTGACCAACTACGGTGTCAATTAGCTGTGAAACCTGAGCTTCAATCCGCACCGCACATGTGTGAATCAGCACTGAGGGCAATGGTCTCAAAACTGCAGGGGACGGATGTGGCTTTTTACTTGCCTTTATCTGGCCCTCTGGACAAAATTGCTCTCACTGACACCAACAGTGGGGGGGGGGGACACATTATATCTTCTACTGACACCAACGATGGGGCACCGCTCCCTCCCGCTTGCGGCCGAACGATGGGGCACCGCTCCCTCCCGCTTGCGGCCGACGATGGGGCACCGCTCCCTCCCGCTTGCGGCCGACGATGGGGCACCCGCTCCCTCCCGCTTGCGGCCACGATGGGGCACCGCTCCCTCCCGCTTGCGGCCGGCGATGGGGCACCGCTCCCTCCCCCGCTTGCGGCCGGCGATGGGGCACCGCTCCCTCCCGCTTGCGGCCAACGATGGGGCACCGCTCCCTCCCCTCTGCGGCCGATGACGGGGTACATTCTACTCCCAGTGTCCACAGAAAACCTGAAGGACAGTTAACTGGCCCTTCAGAAAGTTTGGAGACCCCTGTGTTAGAGGAATGCCCATCACAAGTTTTAGCTGTAGTATATACAGGATTGGTTGGTAGCATCTGACCAATCATAAGCATCATGGACCTACCCCCCCTCCTAGTACCGCCCCTTTTAAAGAATACGGAAACAAGTATAATTTTGTTATTTGTATGGAATTTGTTAATGATGGCAAGAAAATCGACGAAATGGAGCATGCTGGGAGCGGTGTGTGGCGTGGTCCCAGCACAATGACAGATGTGTATATATGCGGCCCCACAAAAAAAACGCCCAGTTCCGTGAGGTCGCATCTATGGCTACGGTCGGCGGGAAAGAGTTCAAGAAAGATTTGGACCTCTGCTGCAATTTTTAGGAAATTTTTAAGCATCCTTGAATTTTAATTCAATACCCACCCCCCCCCCCCCCCCCCCGATCTGTATACTTTACCCCCCGCTTAGCGTTTTTGTATTCGGATCTGATGTCGATGTCTCTCTTTTGTATTACAGGTCACAGCCAATGATCTGCAGGAGCATATAATAAAGCTGACGAACGGAGTGACATTTATGATCAAACATTCTCAAAAGCTTTTTAAGGTAATCGCTAATTTGGATTTCCTGGTCCGTTGAGGGCAGCAAGGCTTGCGTTCCTTTCATACACATGTGGGGATACTGACATTGTTGAGTCCATTGTCCAGTGCAGGAGCTCAGGCATTCGGTTGCTTTTTTTTCTTCCTACCAGGCCCCAAGAAAGGACAAGCTGCTTCATGTTCCACCATTTCTAGGTGGATTCGTCAGTGGTTGGTGGGATTCCTCCGTGGTTGAGGCATGTGCTCTTCCCAGTCTCGGGGACCTCTGTTCCCTGTTTCTTCGCATTCCACCAGGGCGTTGTGTGCATCCTGGACGGTTTCATCTTTCTGCTTACGTGGTTCAGGTCTGCAACGTGGTTATCTGGTCATCGGTTTCACACTTTTTTACTGAGATCTAAAAAAAAAAATTGATGGGACTGCCTAGCGGATGCCAGTTTTGGCCAGAAAGTTTTGAAGGCAGCAGTTTTTGAGTTTTCGGGGTGCGGATACTTTTGTTGTGCTTAGGTTTATGAGCCCACCCTTCATTTTTTTTGGCACTGCTTTGGGATGTCCCATCCATCATGAAGACCTGTAAAAAACAAGTGCAGCTCTATATAAACCCAATAATTACAGTGAAGGAAATGTGTATTTGCTCCCCGGCTGATGTTGAATGTTCGCCCCTCACAAAGAAATGATCGGTGTAACAATGGAATGTTTCGGTGTAACACAGAGACAGAATACAACAATAAATTCAGCAGAAATGAGTCTAACAAATGACTGATCTGCATGTTCATGAGGGAAAGAAGGATTTGATCCCCTATCATTCAGCAGGATTTCTGGCTCCCAGGTGTCTTTCATACAGGTAACAAGCTGAGATTAGAAGCAGTCTCTTAAAGGGAGTGCTGCTAATCTCACTGTGTTACCTGTATAAAAGACACCTGTCCACAGGAGCAATCAAACCATCAGATTCCAAACTCTCCACCATGGCAAAGACCAAAGAGCTGTCCAAGGATGTCAGGGACAAGATGGTAGACCTACACAAGGCTGGACTGGGCTACCAAACTATGGCCAAGCAGCTTGGTGAGAAGGTGACAACAGTTGGTGCAATCATTCACAAATGGAAGAAACACAAAACAAGTGTCAGTCTCCCTAGGTCTGGTGCACCATGCAAGATCTCACCTCGTGGAGTGTCAATGATCATGAGAACAGTGAGGAATCATCCCAGAACTACAGGATCTTGTCAGTGATCTCCAGGCAGCTGGGACCACAGTCACCAAGAAAACACCATCCCAACTGTGAAACATGGTGGTGGAAACATTCTGCTTTGGGGTGTTTTTTTGCTAAGGGGACAGGACAACTGCACAGCATCAAAGGGACGATGGACGGGGCAATGTTCCATCAAATCTTGGGTGAGAACCTTTTTCCCTCAGCCAGGGCATTGAAAATGGGTCGTGGATGGGTTTTCCAGCATGGCAATGACTCAAAACACATGGCCAAGGCAACAAAGGAGTGGCTCAAGAAGAAGCACATTAGGGTCCAGGAGTGGCCTAGCCAGTCTCCAGACCTTCATCCGATTGAAAATCTGTGGAGAGAGCTGAAAGTTCCAAGTTGCCAAACGTCAGCCACCAAACCTTAATGACTTGGAGAGGATCTGCCAAGAGGAGTGGGCCAAAATCCCTCCTGAGATGTGTGCAAACCTGGTGGCCAACTCCAGGAAACGTCTGACCTCTGTGATTGCCAACAAGGGATTTGCCACCAAGTACTAAGTCCTGTTTTGTAAAGGGGATCAAATCCTTATTTCCCTCATGAACATGCAGATCAGTCATCATTTTTTAGACATACATTTATGCTGAATTTGTTGTTGCTCTTCCGTCTCTGACCTAAATAAAGTGCGAATAGTCCAAAAAGGCATGCATATGCAATAAAAATATAAACCTAAATGTCACATATACTAATATAGAACTGTCCCAATGTGTCAATCCAAAAACAATACAAATCTTATTGCAGTTCAGCATTCTTTCAATATGGAAGTTCCACCACAAAAACCTATTCCATCTCCCCCGGCACAAAGATTGTGAGCTTCTCACCAGACAGAGCGGACCATTCAAACATAACCTGTCAAGAACCTTCCACCATCCAGTTTTATATCGATCTCAGCATTAGTGTCATCACCACGTAATAACAAAAAAAACACCAATGTTCAACAGCGTTCTATGCATATCCCCGTCAGGAATCGGCACTGCGACTCCACCAACACCATTCGTACCGGCAAACGGAAAAATAACAGATGCGGACCATTGTGTAGTAGAGGGTTTCTCAACCAGGGATCCTCCAGAGGTTGCCAGGGGTTCCTTGAGAAATTTGCAATTTTTGCCTCAGGTAAGTTCCCACTGACACCATTGGTCTTTTTAGCAATCTGTAAGGGGGTAATTCTTCCCGATGACCACAAGTGGAAGGAGCCTTCTTCCCGATGACCACAAGTGGAAGGAGCCTTCTTCCCGATGACCACAAGTGGAAGGAGCCTTCTTCCCGATGACCACAAGTGGAAGGAGCCTTCTTCCCGATGACCACAAGTGGAAGGAGCCTTCTTCCCGATGACCACAAGTGGAAGGAGCCTTCTTCCCGATGACCACAAGTGGAAGGAGCCTTTTCCCGATGACCACAAGTGGAAGGAGCCTTCTTCCCGATGACCACAAGTGGAAGGAGCCTTCTTCCCGATGACCACAAGTGGAAGGAGCCTTCTTCCCGATGACCACAAGTGGAAGGAGCCTTCTTCCCGATGACCACAAGTGGAAGGAGCCTTCTTCCCGATGACCACAAGTGGAAGGAGCCTTCTTCCCGATGACCACAAGTGGAAGGAGCCTTCTTCCCGATGACCACAAGTGGAAGGAGCCTTCTTCCCGATGACCACAAGTGGAAGGAGCCTTCTTCCCGATGACCACAAGTGGAAGGAGCCTTCTTCCCGATGACCACAAGTGGAAGGAGCCTTCTTCCCGATGACCACAAGTGGAAGGAGCCTTCTTCCCGATGACCACAAGTGGAAGGAGCCTTCTTCCCGATGACCACAAGTGGAAGGAGCCTTCTTCCCGATGACCACAAGTGGAAGGAGCCTTCTTCCCGATGACCACAAGTGGAAGGAGCCTTCTTCCCGATGACCACAAGTGGAAGGAGCCTTCTTCCCGATGACCACAAGTGGAAGGAGCCTTCTTCCCGATGACCACAAGTGGAAGGAGCCTTCTTCCCGATGACCACAAGTGGAAGGGGCCTTCTTCCCGATGACCACAAGTGGAAGGGGCCTTCTTCCCGATGACCACAAGTGGAAGGGGCCTTCTTCCCGATGACCACAAGTGGAAGGGGCCTTCTTCCCGATGACCACAAGTGGAAGGGGCCTTCTTCCCGATGACCACAAGTGGAAGGGGCCTTCTTCCCGAGTGACCACAAGTGGAAGGGGCCTTCTTCCCGAGTGACCACAAGTGGAAGGGGCCTTCTTCCCGAGTGACCACAAGTGGAAGGGGCCTTCTTCCCGAGTGACCACAAGTGGAAGGGGCCTTCTTCCCGAGTGACCACAAGTGGAAGGGGCCTTCTTCCCGAGTGACCACAAGTGGAAGGGGCCTTCTTCCCGAGTGACCACAAGTGGAAGGGGCCTTCTTCCCGAGTGACCACAAGTGGAAGGGGCCTTCTTCCCGAGTGACCACAAGTGGAAGGGGCCTTCTTCCCGAGTGACCACAAGTGGAAGGGGCCTTCTTCCCGAGTGACCACAAGTGGAAGGGGCCTTCTTCCCGAGTGACCACAAGTGGAAGGGGCCTTCTTCCCGAGTGACCACAAGTGGAAGGGGCCTTCTTCCCGAGTGACCACAAGTGGAAGGGGCCTTCTTTCCTCTGACTATCACACTAATGTATCATGAATTGTATTTAAAGCCATTTTTAGCAAGGGCTCCCTGAGACCGGAAAGTTACGTCAAGGGTTCCTCTGCGTTAAAAAGTTTGGTGTAGTATATTAAAAGTTTTATTCCAGCATAAAGTTCGATTTTATACAAAGCTCACCTACTAGTTCATAATATAAACCAGGCTGTTCGAGTACCAGACTCCAGCCAGCAACTTGCGTGACGTCACATCTAAGTGGCGCCCAACGCGCTTCGTCAGGATATGACAAAGGTCAGGGGGGTTGGCCAATGCTTTGTAGAATTGCACTTTTATGCTGGAATAAAACATTTAATGTACTACAGTATGGTCCACATCTGTTATCTTTTTATTTGCTGTTACTAATGGTGGTGTTGGAGGAGCCGCGATGCTGATGCCTGGGAACATTGAAGAACACAGCAGATCTACATGAGAGATAGGTTTTATGTTGCCACCTGCAGGAGCTGGATGCTAGGTGCAACCAAAAACTAAAAGCACGCCAAGGGGAAGCTCCATGCTGGTGGCTGGACCCCTCATTTGCAACACACAACTTGGTTAAAAGCCAGCAGTAATAGGACAGCAATGTCAAGACTAGCAAACAAAACTGGGCAGGTGATGGTGAACTCAGAGAGAAGAATTTTGCAATGATTACAAGAATCCCATTTTCTCTTCTGTTGATTGAAGGACACCGCAATCTTCATGATGGATGGGGCTTCCCAAAGCAGTGCCAGAGAAGGAAGGATGTGCTCATAAACGCAAGAATAAGGAACTGCACTTCAGCAAGCTCAAATTGCTGCCTGCAAAACTTTTCGGCCAAAACTGGCATCCACTGAGCCAGTTGCGTTTTAATTTTGTAGAACTTGATAAAAGCGCGGCCTGACGACCTGAACACCAGCAACCTGAACAACCAGAGCAGACTGGTGGAATGCACCCAAAGAGGAAACGGAGTTTCCCGGCCCAAGAGAGTTTGTCTGATCCACTGTTTGATGAATCCTCCTTGAAATGATGGAGGATGAAGCAGCTTGTACTTTCTTGGGGCCACTAGAACATTGAACTTCAATTGAATTTGAGTCCGTCTTCCAAATCGACAAGAAGAAAAGTCCACCACCTGGAACAGAAAAAAAAAAAAT